AGTTCTACTAAAGAATGGGAGGGTGAAAGAAAGCAGATTTGAACCTGAAATTTGTAAGGTTCATCTTGGTATTGCTGTGCTAATGATTCTTGCCCTGGGCATCAAGGACGTGCAGAGTTTTGATTTTGTTGATGCACCTAATCCTAAAGGAATTGAGATGGCTATCAAAAAGCTGTTCACTTAGGAGCTATTACATGCATTGAGGATGGTTATGAATTAACAGCAGAGGGTCTTGTTCTTGCTCCTGTTATGGCAAATTCAAACAACATTTTCTGCAGAGTTGGTACTGAAGTAGATAAACTAAAATCTGATTGCCTTAAGGTTCAGTTTTTCCATCATGATGGTGATCTCTTCACCTTACTATTTGTTTACAAGGAATTGGATGCTGTTTCTCAAGAAAAGAAAAATGCCTGGTGTGAGAAAAATAGCATGAATGCCAAAACCATGAGAAGGTGCCAGGAGACTGTTGAAGAACTGGAAGCCTGTCTTCAAAATGAACTGAGTAGTTTTGAACATATTAAATTTGATGATTATGAACCTGCATTGGAAAATGATGAATCTAGACTCAGAGCCTGCAGTGAGAATGAAGAAAAGAAGGTGGTTGCATCTATTGGTGGAAGAAACAATGTTGCTGCATGTACCAAGCATTTTGTGAGTGATGAAGGAACACTCTTGCTAAATGACACTGCTAGGAAATTCAATACCTTCCTTAGTCCCAGTAAATAGAAGAGGTTCCGGAGGGAGGGTTGAGCCAAAGAAGCCAAATGTATTATTGCTAATCTATTTCTTTTTGTGGTTGCGGATGGTTGGCTATTTTCAAATCACACTGGAACATAAGAAGCTAGCTGCTACATGGGAGAATGATGCTCAATTGTCCTTAAAAAGTTCAGTATCTACATACATGATCCTTGAGGACAAGGATCTTTAAAGGGGAAGGTACTGTAACATCCCGAGCAATTAGCAATCCTCATGACGTCAGCAAGGTAGGGAACGGCGTCGTATGAGCACAGGGTTAGTGACTGTTGCTACTAATTGAAACGACAACGTGCACTCTTGCTAAATGACACTCTGCTAGGAAATTCAATACCTTCCTTAGTCCTAGTAAATAGAAGAGGTTCCGGAGGGAGGGTTGAGCCAAAGAAGCCAAATGTATTGTTGCTAATCTATTTCTTTTTGTGGCTGCGGATGGTTGGCTATTTTCAAATCACACTGGAACATAAGAAGCTAGCTGCTACATGGGAGAATGATGCTCAATTGTCCTTAAAAAGTTCAGTATCTACATACATGATCCTTGAGGACAAGGATCTTTAAAGGGGAAGGTACTGTAACATCCCGAGCAATTAGCAATCCTCATGACGTCAGCAAGGTAGGGAACGGCGTCGTATGAGTACAGGGTAAGTGACTGTTGCTACTAATTGAAACGACGACGTGCGGAGCTTAGCAGTTGGCGGATGAAGCTAAACGATGTCGCTTGATCGTGGGTGAGGCAGCTGTTGAAACTGACAAAATCTGAGAGTAGTGGAGGCAAATTCTCTTGGAAGTATTAGCTAGCTATAGTCCTTTATCCTCTTTCCTCTAGACCTCTTTCTTATTCTTTTTCTCTACCTCTGCTTCTGTGTTTCTTGTTCAAATCTCAGGGTTGTGACAAAATCTTAGAAAAGCTCTTGTATAAATAGTGGTGCAAACCCACTTCCCAAATCAATAGGGGACAAAAGCTACTTTAAAGCCTTTTCCTTTTATTTTCCAACTCAAATGGGTCTAATTTGATAATCAAATTCTCATTTACCCATTATCCATTTTGAGCGTACAATATATCAATCTCTTCGTCTCACTACGAAGAACCCGAATCCACTTTGATCCGACCCAAATCAGAAGTGGACCACTAATAATTGTACTACAAAATAGCCACTTAATGCCATTTTTATGCTATTTTTCCAACAAATATTTCTCACAATCTTTTATCTGTCCTTGATGAATTTTCCGGCCTCAAATATTTCTTTAAATGTGGTTATTCTTTATCTTCATGGAAATCGTATGTCAAAGGATCTCTTCCATACAATATATGCATGCAAATATGCAATGAGCAACTTGGTGTATGTTTTTTGATGCATCAGATCAGCACCAAATGCCTTTTTTTTCAAGTAATGGACATCTAATTAGAGGATTGTAAGACAAAGACAACGAATTACTAAATTTCAAATTAAAATATTTCTTTTCGTACAATTTGGTTTACAAAAATTGTCAACATGAAGTGGTCTTTGGGAAATAGAATTTTTCTTTTTAGGGGGAATTAGCAACATCAAGTGGTAAAAGATTTGATATGACAATATATTAGTTCTATTTGATTAATAATTAAATATATTTTCAAAAAAAATAATTGAATATAATTTTTAACATGTTAATATATTATTTATACATGATTAATAACTAAATTCATTGCTAACTACCATGTAATGTGATGACATTCCAATTACCATTGTAAACGAATGTTCATATCCCTGTAGTTGGTGTTTAGATTCTTCTTTGAGTTGAAAATGTTTAAGAAAAACAAAATAGCTAAATTCATTTTTAATTTTAATGTTGAGTGAGTTTGACTATTTCATGGTAACTAATTCATCGTTGTTTCTTTGATTTTTTTTTTTTAAAAAGATTTTTATTATCACGTTATTTGGTAAAAAAAAAAAAATCATCTCTATATCTGTATTCATATATATAATTGTTTGAAATACTTTTATACTTATTATTTGCAAATTTAATATAAATTTTTTACTTTGATTTTTTTTTTTTTTGCTTTTTTATTTACCTAAGAAACTTTTCAATTTGTGGATACAAAGTCAATTTCCCAAGGACCACTTCAATTCTTGTGAACCAAGTTTCACGTAAGAAACTTTTCAATTTGGACTTTTCCCCTCCTACGCGGCTTTGGGGAAGCTATTGAGGACTGTGGGCTTGCTCAGTTGCCTATGGTTGGTTATCCGTACACATGGGGGAAGGGGAAGGGGACAGCAAACTGGATGGAGGAGAGGCTCGATAAAGTTCTAGTAACGGACGAGTGGCGGGGTATGGTGATGGGGGCTAAGGTGATGAATCTGAGAACCCGGAAGTCTGATCACTCGGCTCTCTTTCTGGGGATTCAGGACTTCGCTGGGGGTGTTGGGCCTCGTAGGAGGGGTGTTTGTTTTGAGATGGCCTGGCTGTATGATGAGGGGTGCAGGAATGTGGTAGAGCAATCCTGGCAGGAGGGGAGGGGCCAGGGTTTACAGAACTGTATTCAGTACTGTGGGACCCGGTTAACACGATGGGGTGGAGACCGGTATCATAAGTACGGAAAACGGATCAATGAACTGACAAGAGAGCAGCAGCGACTAAGGGGGCGTACTGACCCGGCCTCCCTAGCTGAGTTCCAGCGCCTAGAACAGTTGTTAAGCTGTACTGAAGCTCAGGAGGATGCCTACTGGAGGCAGAGAGCCAAACAACACTGGCTTAAGGAGGCAGATGCTAATACGAAGTTTTTCCATAGGTATGCCTCTCACCGAAAAAAAGAAGAATACTATTTCTAGATTGATGAATGATAATGGGGATTGGGTTGAGGGGGAGCCTATGAAAAATATTATCTTGCAGTATTATGATCGTATTTTCTGTGCTGGAACCCCGGGAACTGGGGAGGATTTTTTTGAGGGAATTGTCCCGCGAATCACGCAGGCACAGAATGAGTCTTTGTTGCGTCCGTTTGAACTGGATGAGGTTAAGAGTGCACTGTTTGCGATGTTTCCGGACAAGGCACCAGGCCGGATGGAACGAATCCAGGCTTTTATCAACATTTTTGGGATGTGGTTGGGGGTGATGTGGCGAGCTTTATAATAAATTGTGTTCAGTCCTGTGATTTCCCGCCTGGGTTGACTGAGACTGATATTGTTTTAATCCCTAAGAAGAAAACCCCTGAGTATGTCACTGATTTGCGGCCTATAGCCCTCAGTAATGTGGTCTATAGAATTATGGCAAAAATGTTGGCTAACAGAATGAAGCTGTTAATGGAAGAAGTAATATCTGAGTCACAAAGCGCATTCATCCTGGATAGATTGATAACGGATAATATACTATTAGCTGCAGAGGTGGGGAATTTTTTGAATAGGAAACAATGTGGAGTGGGGGGATGGAGTGCTCTCAAGTTAGACATGGCAAAGGCGTATGATCGGGTCGAATGGCCCTTCTTACGAAGGATGATATTGGCGCTGGGATTTCATGGTGGTTGGGTGGAGTTGATTATGAAGTGTGTAACCTCTGTCTCATATAATATTAAGGTGAATGGCTTAAGATGTGATCCTATTATACCCACTCGTGGAATAAGGCAAGGGGATCCTTTGTCCCCATATCTATTTATTATTTGTGCAGAGGGTCTATCTTTGTTGTTGCAGCAGGCACATAATGTGGGATCGATACATGGCTGTAGGGTAGCAAGAGGAGCCCCCTCGATTTCTCACTTATTGTTTGCAGATGATAGTCTACTGTTTTTTAAGGCCAAGGCGGAGGAAGCAACTGAGGTTAAAAGGTGTCTAGCTGTGTATGAGAATCTATCCGGGCAGGCAGTGAATTATCATAAGTCGAGTATATGTTATAGTAGAAATACTAGTAACAAGGATAGACAAAGTGTGGCTCAGATTTTGGGAGTGGCACAGACACCGAATTTTGGCAAGTATTTGGGACTCCCCTCTTTTATTGGAAGACACAAGAAAGCAGTTTTTGCATATGTGGAGGATAAAATCCGTCAAAGGATTGGATCATGGAATAAAAAACTGCTATCACAGGCAGGGAAAGAAATTCTTTTGAAAATTGTAGCACAATCTATGCCTACGTTTTCAATGAGTGTTTTCTTGTTACCTGTATCAGTGTGTACGGCGATAGAATGGACGATGAATCGTTACTGGTGGGATTCTGGAACTGACAGGCGAATACATTGGAAGGCATGAGATAAGTTATGTGTCCCAAAGAAATATGGTGGGATGGGGTTTAAAGATTTGCGTGCATTTAATCTAGCAATGCTAGGAAAGCAGGCGTGGCGAATGTTGACTAAGCCTGACTCTCTGGTGGCACGTGTGTATAAGGCCCGGTATTTTCCGAAAGGATCTTTCTTTGATGCACAGGTGGGAAATAATCCCAGTTTCTGCTGGCGGAGCATCATGGTAGCAAAGAGTATTATTTTTGGTGGGGTCAGGCGCAGAATTGGTAATGGGGAGTCTACATTCATATGGACACACCCTTGGCTACAGAATGACCATGACCCAATGATACAAACAGAAATGCCAATACAGTTGAAGGAAGCCAAGGTGGCAGGTTTGATAGACCAACAAACTGGTTCTGGGATCCCTCAATCTTAACTGACTTATTTCAACCCAATGATGTGGCGGAAATTATGAAAATACCCATCTCCCCGGAATATGATGATACTTGGTACTGGCATGGGGATCCAAGAGGATAGTATTCTGTTAAAAGTGGATATAAGCAAGTAATGGGAAATTATTAATGGGGTATTTACAAAATGGTTATCCCTATGGAAGTTAAAAATCCCCCCAAAATGGAGAATGTTTCTATGGAGAGCCATTAGTGATATATTGCCTACTACTACAAACTTGCTTATAAAGAGGGTGGATGTGGATCCACGATGTGCCATGTGTGGATTATCTCAAGAAGACACAATGCATGCTTTGGTGTTGTGTGACTTTGCAAGGAACATTTGGGATAAATCTAACCTCACAATTCCAAATATAATCACAAATATTTTTTATGTTTGGTTTGATGAACTTCTAAATGTTCTAGACTCTGATGGGATATTCTATGCAGTAGCAATACTTTACAATGTGTGGAGAGCAAGGAACAGGGCCGTTTGGGAAGCAACACTACCACGGCCGGAGGTGGTCCTCAAAACCGCCGCTGCTGCCAAGCTGGCGTGGACTCAGGCGCACGCACAGCCCACGGCCCAGGCCACCACGTTGCCAGCCATGCCGAACCCGCTGCAAGGAAGCGCCAATCTCCATGCGCCGAATTCCGTCGCTGCCGAGCCACCTGGACCGCCAAGGCACATATGCCGTGTGGACGGGGGGTATATGCAGGAGACAGGACAGGCTGCTTTGGGGGTACTCTTACTAGACACCGACGGGGGATATGTTTCAGCATACAGTGGACCACTACAAGGATGCTCCTCGCCACTTATGGCTGAGGCGCTCGCATGTAAAGAAGCTCTATCATGGTTGAATGATCGGGGTGAGCAGAATGTTGAGGTTTATACGGACTGCCTGACACTACATCGTTATCTTACTACACCAACCGTTGTGTTGCGCACATATCTAGGCTATGCCATTGACACTTGCAGGCTTATTGCATCTTCGTTTCAGTCTTGTTCATTTCATTTTATTCCTAGATTAGAGAACCATCTAGCTCATGCTTTAGCTACTACGGCTTATCAGCAAACTGCAACTATGTATTGGGATCTACTCCCACCGGATGTTATTTCGGCCTACTTTTAATGAAGCATCATATAATTTTCAAAAAAAAATATTCAGGTGTAGTGCAATTCTTCACAAGTTTACAAGTTCATAGTTCTCACCTGATTATATATATAGTTTAAGCAAAAAAGTGATGACTAATGTGATATATCAATTTCTGTTGATTAACGGTTGATGGTTGTATCACTTGTATGTAGAAAGAGTTAATTTCATTTTTGGTTCAAGATTTATAGGTCATAATTCACTTTTAGTCCTTTTTTAAAATATTGCTATTTGGTCCTAGTATTATTGTGGTATTACCATTTTTGGTCATCTATCGGCAAAACTGTTTAAATTATGTAAAGTACAAGGACAATTAGGTCTTCAATTATGTTTTTCTTTTCAAAAAATAAAATAAAATTAAAAATATAACGGGTTTTGAGAAGAAAATAAAAGAGTTAATTACCGAAATGGTCCCTTGACTATAGCGAAATTACCAATTTGGTACTTGACTATTTTTTTGACCAATTAAGTCCCTCGACTTTAAAAACCTTAACTAATTTGATCCTCCGTTAATTTTTCTATTAGACATCTGTTAACTTGGGACCAAATTGGTAATTTCGCTATAGTCAATGGACCATTTCAATAATTAACTTTAGGGGTGGACAATTCGATTTGATTTTCCTGAACGGAACCGAGCCGAACTACCGGTAAACTAGTTTGGTTCGGTAATATACCTAACAACCGAACGGTAATGAATTCTTGTATATTGAACAGTTCAGAATACCGTTTGATTTTTTAATAATAATAATAATAATAATAATAATAATAATAATAATAATAATAATAATAATAATTAATATACACATCGATTCTTCTTCTTCTTCTTCTTCTTCTTCATTATTATTATTATTATTATTATTATTATTATTATTATTATTATTATTATTATTATTATTATTATCATTATTACTAGTAATTCACCCGCGCGATGCACGGAAAAAAATTATGTTATTATAAATATAAATAAAAAATAAAAAAACTAAAATATTTTAAATTATTTAATATAATAAAATTTTTTAGCTTCCATTGGTCAAGTATTTATTATTTTTATAGAATACAAAATTAAAATTAAAATTAAAATTAAAATTAAAATTAAAATTTTGTATGGTTAATATAATCTCTAATTATGTGCATATTCAATTAATCTTATAGAGAGAATTTACATAATTACATTGATTTATTCTTAATTGTATTTCATCTATATTATAATTTTCACAATACGAATAATAACTAAGATAATTACATTTGGAAAGCAAATTTTAAATTTTGTATGAGTAAATTTAAACTCTAATTGAACATGATGGATATATTAGGTATGGGCTCGGGGCGAACCGACCCGGGAAGGCCGGCGCGAAGGCCTAGGGCGGCCCCGGATGGGGCCGACCAAGGCCTCGGCCTACGGGCCAATCGTGGCCCGGGCGGCCTCGAGCGAGGCCTACGTAGGCCTGGGGCATGGGATGGCCCCGGGCACTCGCGCGGACCCGGTCAACGCGCGATCCAACCGCCCCACGAGAATAGGGGGCGGTTGGGAGTTTTGGCTAGTATAAAAGGATTAATTATTGTCTTGCCTAAGACATCTACTTATTATTATTACAACATTTTATCTTGTAACCCTTCTACAACTATTATCAATACAAAGTTGTCCCCGCGACACACATTCTACATCTTTCCGATCCATTATTTATCGGGTTTAGTGATTCGGGTCTACCCCGGGTTAATTAAATCCATCATTGGTGCTCTTGTTGAGGGTTGACGTACAAGCTCGAGCGTGCTCCATATCCCACGATGGCAAGGTCGAGGTCCAATTCTCGCGGCTCCCGTAACAGCCGTGCCTCCCCTCCTAGGGTTGGCCTCAACGGGACCACTAGTCATCCACAAGTTCCTTCTTTGAGGTCGGCGGGTGACCTCGGAGATCGCCTCAACAACCACTGCAACGACACGGTGGCCGCCTGCCCTCCCCCGGATCCTACCCTCTTCCGGGAAGGGGCGGCCGCCCTCCAACAAGCTTCAGTGACATTGGACCGCCTCGCGCGGGGGCTCCATGGTGGTATTCCGGTCGGCCCAGAGGCCGCCCAAAGAGCCCTGACCCCGCCTCCGGCCCCCTCGAGGGGGCGTAGCGGCCCGAGCCGGCCACCCCGCGCCCAGGCCGCCCAAACAGAGGGGGAGGTCAACTCGCCCCGGCCCTCGGACAGGCGGGGGGGAGGCAGCATCCGCTTGGATCAACATCAAGATGGTGAGAGAGTTCGAGGGAGGTCGGCCCCAGCCAGGCCGGCCCTGGAGAGGTTGGGAGTCCGCGTGTCCGCCCGGGACAAGTTGGGCCAGAGGCCCGCCGCCAACGGACTGCCCGCTGCAGGGTCATGCTCGCGAAACTCACCCAGCAGAGGGCTCCGAGCCCCGCCACGATAGGAGTCGCAGGCGAGACGATCGCCAAGCCAGGGGCCCCGTGCCCCGGCGCGGCAAGAGCAACACTCCCGGGTCGAACGATCGGGGGAGTCGAATGGTCGAGCTCCGAGCTCTCATCGTGGAGAGGTCGAGCAACTCCGCAGGCGGATGGACGAGCTTCAGATGCAAATCAATGACAGGAACGGGTCCCCGGAGCCCATGGATGTCCTGACTGCCCCCTTCACGCGGGACATCATGGAAGAACCCCTCCCCGCGAACTTCCGTTTCCCCACCATCCAGGCGTACTCTGGGGCGACTGACCTGCGTGAACACCTGAACAGGTACCGAGCTGCCATGCTAATGACTAGGGCCAGCGACGCTATCATGTGCCAAGGCTTCCTCTCGACCCTAGACGACCACGCATAGGACTGGTGTGGGTCCCTACCGGAAGGATCCATCTCGACCTTCGCGACCCTCACAAGGCGCTTCCTGTCTTACTTCGCTGGCCATATGCGGAAAAAGAAGCAGTTCGCCGACTTATGTTCTTTGAAACAAAGGAGTTCGGAGTCCCTGGCCGACTTCCTCAGCAAGTGGAAGAAGGAGTCGATAGGGGTCTCCAATTTTGACGACAAGGCGGCCATACCCATCTTCAGAAGCAACCTCAGATCCGACGCCTTCCACCAGGACCTCATCCGATACTCCCCCAAGACCTACACCGAGTTGATGGACCGTGCATCTAGGTTTGCGGACGCGGAGGTAGCCGAGAAGAGGAAGAAGGAGGAAGAGGAGGGGAAGGACCGTAAAAGCAAGGAACCCCGAGAGGAGCGCCAGGCACCGCGGCCGCCCCGGCGCGAGGCCCAGCAAGAAGACCGCCGGGCACCCAGGCCTCCCCGCCGTGACTACGCTGAGGGGCCCAGGTTGACCCCCACACGCTTTCTCACCCCGCTGACGCAGCCCGTCAGCACAATCCTGGAGCATGCGGAAGGCCAAGGGATCGTGGAGTACCCGGGGGAGTGCATGAAGATATCCCCGAAGGTAGACCACAACAAATACTGCAAATTCCACCGACAATCAGGGCATGACACGGACGAATGCATCCTCCTCAAATGCCAGATCGAGGAGCTCATCCAGAGAGGCTACTTGGGTCAGTTCGTGCAATGGCCTGGACAGGGCCAAGGTCAGCATCAAGGCCGCGTGTGGAGGAAGGGAGGCAGCTCCGAGCCCTCTGCCTCCGCGCCACGCAAGAGAGAACTCGACCAGTCACTGATGAGGAGGAAAGAGAGCTAGACAACCCCCACCCCTCCAGAAGAAACGTGCCATCCATGTGATCTTTGGGGGACCCGGGGGGGGGGGGACACGCCCGCAAAGAGGAAGAAATAGGCACGGAGCCTCTATGTGGGCGAGGTCGTGCGACCCCCACACGAGAAGAGGCCTCGGAGGGAGCCCATCACCTTCACCGACAACAACCTCCCAGACGGCCCCCTCCCTCACCGGGACGCCTTGGTGGTCAAGATGGAGATCAATGAGGTGGTCGTGCACAGAGTATTGGTGGACACAGGCAGCTTGGTGAACGTGATGTACCACGACACATTCACCCAGTTGGGGATATCGAGGAAACAGCTGGGGCAAGTGAGGACCCCTTTGTCTGGGTTCACGGGGGATTCCATAGAGACAGAATGGTCAATCAACCTCGCGGTCGAGATAGGCTCCCCGCCGCACACCAAGAGGTTGGAGGTAGAGTTCGTGGTGGTCAGAATCAGCTGCGCTCACAATGTGATCCTAAGCCGACCCGCCCTAGATGACCTTAGGTGTGTAATCTCTATGGAACACCTATGCCTCAAGTTCCCCACGCCAACCGGGGTCAGGGTCCCCCGGGGAGACCAGAGGATCAGCCGGAGTTGCTACCTTCGGGCATGCCGACAGATAGGCAAGCAGGACCTCCAGGTGCACACCATAGCAGAGAAGGCGCTGAAAGAGGAGGGCCGCCCGCGAGCCGAGCCCGTGGTGGAGACTGAGGAGGTCGTCCTCGACCTCGGCCGCCCCGATCGCGTAGTGAAGGTCGGAACCGGGCTCTCCCCTGAGCTCCGGGCCCGCATCATTGACGTTATCAGGGCTTACAAAGGGGTGTTCGCGTGGGGACCCGAGGACATGCCGGGCCTCAGTAGGGACGTCATCACCCATAAGCTCGCCGTCGACCCCACAACCAAGCCGGTGCAGCAGCGCAAGAGGTACCTCTCCGCAGAGAGGAGGGAGTTCGTGAGGACGGAGGTCAATACCCTCCTCGAGATAGGGCACGTCCGGGAGGTCCTATACCCCAAATGGCTAGCCAACGTAGTCCTCACCCCCAAACCCCCCACCTGGAGGATGTGCGCGGACTACACTGACCTCAACATAGCCTGCCACATGGACCCCTTTCCGTTGCCAAATATCGATCAGCTGGTGGATGAAACGGCAGGCTACGCCCTCATGAGCTTCCTAGACGCCTTCCCGGGGTACCACCAGATCTTCATGCATGAGGACGATGAGGAGAAGACAGATTTCACAACCCCGGAAGGGGTCTTTTGCTATAGAGTCATGGCCTTTGGGCTCAAAAACTCCGGGGCCACCTACACCAGGATGGTCGCCAAGGTCTTCAAGCAGGTCCTCGACCGCAACATGGAGGCCTATGTGGACGACATGATAGTCAAAAGCGCAGAGGCCGATGCCCATGTCAACGACCTAGACGAGGTATTTTCCATTATGTAGCGTTATGATTTAAGGTTGAATCCCAAGAACTGCACTTTCGGGGTGCACGGGGGCAAGTTTCTGGGCTACATGGTCTCCAAGAGGGACATTGAGCCCAACCCCGACAAGGTGAGGGCCATCGTGGACATGGAGCCTCCGCGGTCCCTCCAGGAGGTCCAACGCCTAAACGGCAGGCTAGCGGCCCTCGGCCAGTTCCCCTCGAGGTTGGCCGAGAGGTCCTTACCCTTCTTCGCGGTCCTCAAGAAGAGTTTGGGGTTCGAGTGGTCTCCTGAGTGCCAGAAGGCCTTCGACGACCTCAAGGCCTACATGATGTCGTTACCCCCGCTCGCCAAGCCCGTGAGAGGGGAGACATTGTACCTGTAGTTGGGCATATCATAAGCCGCGATCTGCTTCGTGCTGGTCCGGGATGACGTGGGCATACAACGCCCCGTCTACTATACGAGTCGGGCCCTCCGGGGAGCCGAGCTCAGGTACTCTCCCACCGAGAAAGCCATATTTGCAGTGGACATAACCGCAAAGAAACTCAATCACTATTTTCAGGCGCACCCCATTCATGTCTTAACAAACCAGCCCCTGGAGTCGGTGTTAAGGGCCTCGGGGTCGGCCAGCAGGTTGGTAAGGTGGTCCATGCGCTTAAGCCAGTACAACATCCAGTTCAAGCCAAGGCCTGCTATAAAAGGACAAGCACTTGCCGATTTCATAGTCGAGTGCACCGCTCGGGAGGCCACCGAGCAGGCCCGAAGCGAGGAGGAAGAGTGGTGGACCCTATCAACAGACGGGTCCTCGAGTATCAAGGGGTGCGGGGGGAGGGGTCGTCCTCGTAACCCCCGAGGGTTTCAGGGCCTACTAAGCGCTCCGTTTCCACTTCAAATTGTCAAACAACTTGGCCTAGTACGAGGCCCTTCTCGGGGTCTCTGGCTCGCGCTGATTATGAGGGCCGCGAAGCTGAAGATAAGATGTGATTCCAGGCTCGTGGTGGGGCAAGTTACGGGGGAGTTTAAGGCCAACGAGGACAGGATGAGGAGGTACCGTGATGTAGTGCTACAACTCTTGGGACAGCTAGTCCACCACGAAGTCCTGGAGGTGCCAAGAGAACAGAACGCGGACGCGGACATGCTCTCCAAACTCGGGCAAGGAACCCCCGAACATGTCTCCAAGATCGCCCGTGTGGAGGACCTCGCGAGATCCAGCCTCGAGGCCTACCCTGTCCTGCCCGTGCAGGTTCATCCCGCCTGCTAGCTGGACCACCTCAAAGTGTACAAGGAGTCGGGCGCCCTGCCCCCCGACGAAGCGGACGCCAAGCTCGTCCAGCGGAGGGCCCCAACCTACCTACTCATCGGGGACACACTCTACAAACGATCCTACAACGACACCTTGTTGCGCTGCCTGTACCCCGAGGAAGCAAGGGCGGTCATGGAGGAAATCCACGAGGGTACCTGCTCCGCCCACCAGGGGGCCTACACCATGACCCGGAGGGCCATCTTACAGGGCTACTTTTGGCCCCGGATGGCCAAGGAGTGCGCGGACTATGCAAGGAGCTGCCCAACCTGTCAACAATTCCAGGTTGGCCCAGGTCGCCCAGCCATTAACTACACCCCAATCAGTTCAGTCATCCCGTTCTCCCAGTGGGGGGTCGACCTGGTCGGGGCCCTCCCGATGGGATCAGGCAAGAGGAAGTACCTGATAGTAGCGGTGGACTACTTCACCAAGTGGGTAGAAGCCGAACCCCTAGCCAGCATCACAAGTGCCCGGTGCAAACAGTTCATCTACAAGAACATCCTGTGCCGCTTCGGGGTCCCAATGCAGATCATCACGGACAACGGGCGCCAGTTCGAGAGCAAGGAGTTCAGTGAGTTTTGTGCCCAATGGAGCATAACGCATACCTGTGTAGCCGTCTCCTATCCCCAGTCCAACGGCCAAGTCGAAAATTTCAAACGCACTATCGTGGATGGACTCTAGAAGAATCTAGAATCAGCCAAGGGCGCATGGGTGGAGGATTTGGATGTCGTCCTGTGGACCTACCGCACCACCCCGAGGAGGGCCATCGGGGAGACCCCATTCTCATTATCTTATGGCTTTGATGCTCGGGCCCCTGCGGAGGTCGCCATACCCCCTATCGGGCCCAGGTGTACGACCCCGACATGAACAAGGACAACCACAAGACCGAGCTCCACCTTATCGACGAGAAGTGGGAGACTGCAGCCGCCCGCGCCAAAAATTACCAGCGCCAGGCCAAAGCCTACAATGACAAGCGAGTCTGACCCCGTTACTTCCAGGTCGGCGACTACGTTCTGAGGAGGCGCGAAGCAAGTCAGCCCCTCGAGGGGGGCAAGTTCGCTAAGAGATGGGAAGGCCCGTACATAGTCACAGCCGTGGTCCGTCCCCTCAACTATAAACTCAAAACTCTAAAAGGCAAGACGATAGATAGGGTGTGGAACTCTGAGCACCTGCTCAAGTATTTTCAGTGATGATTTCCGTTTTTTTCTTTTCCTGTAAGGTGATCCGCCCTTTCTGATTTCAATAAAACACAATAATACTTCGCCAAGGACTCATCTCACTCATCGAGGGGTGGCTACATCCGTACGACCCCTCCGACTAACCCAAGGGGGACATGAGGCCCGAGCTCACGTACAAAACACGACAGAAGAGCCTGACGGCCCAAGTCCAATGACTCGGGACCAAAGGGTATCCTAAGGAGGCGCGAGGCCCGACCTCGCACACCAACTCCGACGGAAGTGCTTAGAGGCCCAAGTCCGGTGACTTGGGGCCGACGGCTACCCTAAGGGGCACGAGGCCCGACCTCGCGTTCCAACTCTGACGGGAAGAGCTTAGCGTCCCAAGTCCGGTGACTTGGGGTCGACGGCTGCCCTAAGGAGGCACGAGGCCTGACCTCATGTACCAACTCCAACGGAAGTGCTTAGCGGCACAAGTCCGATGACTTGGGGCCAGCGGCTGCCCTCAGGAGGCACGAGGCCTGGCCTCGCTAACCTCCGGCCTGGGAGCGCACAAAAAAAAAAAAATAATACTAATAATAAAAATATGAGCAAACGCGGAAAGGTATTCGAAGCAAGGCAGATTATAAACCAACAGTTCCATACATAAAGTCCAGAAATCCGAAATACATAGCAAAATAAAGAGTTAAGGGCCTGCATCTATGACTCCCTAAGGGGCGCCCTCCTGGCGAGCCGCTGCTGGGTGTTCCGCTTCCAAAGCTTCTGTGGCGACCCTGTCGCGGGAAGAACCAGCCACCAAGGAGGATGTCTGTGTGTGAGAGGGGTCCAGGTTGACGTCGATCTCTACCCGCGCCTCCTCCGGAGGGTCCGGGTCCCGCTCCTCGGCCTCGGGGTCCACCAACTCAGCGGGTAGCCCCCAAGTCTCGGGGGTAAAGCCCTCATCTCGCTGATGGAGAAAGGCATAGATATCACGCTGCGTTGAGTAGCATCCCAAGTTGTAGGAGAACGCACCCTCCTATGCTAGCCTCTCCTGGCCCGGGGCCGTAGCCAACCAAGCGGTCACCAGGGCCTCCAAATGCTCGTCGGCAT